TGGGCGCATGGTCTTGACAAGATCGCCAATAGTTGATCCAGGGATAACGCCGGCAATGTCTTCAACAATCTCGACAGTCACCGGTCGCTTGTCTACATCCATGGAATCATCGCCTTCGCCGTCCTTTTCCGAGAGCTTTGCCCCAACTAGTCGGGCAGCACTCTGCAGGAAAGTAATGGCTTTTCGCAAATCGCCCTCGCTGCACCTGACGAGCGCATCCACAGCACCATCTTCGAGCGTAACGCCCTCTGCCTCTGCTATTGACTCTAGTCGCTTCTTTGCGTTGCTCTGATCCAAGCTCTTGAACCTGAATTTGCTGCATCGGCTCGCCAGAGGGTCGATGATTCTAGTGACGTAGTTGCAAATCAGACAGAAGCGTGTAATCTTGCTATACGTCTCCATTGTCCGCCTCAAAGCGCTCTGAGCGTCTTGCGTCATGGAGTCGGCCTCGTCTAGAATGATGATTTTGAACGGCGGGCATGGGTATTTATCTTTGTATGAGGGCGGCGGGTTGGTCAGTTGCATTCGGGCAAAATCTTTGACTTTTTGTCGGACAATGGAAATGCCACGCTCGTCGGACGCGTTGAGCTCGAGAACTCGGGACTTGATCATCTCTGGGCCGTAGAGCTCCTTGGCAAGGGCCAGAATGGTAGAGGTTTTGCCAGTGCCAGGGGGGCCGTAAAACAGCATATGCGGAAGCTTGAGAGAAGGAGGCCATTAGCTTGAATATGCGTCTCGAATCCAATTGCGAGCAGGTTCACCAACATTTGAAGCTTGCAGTGTTCTCTGCAGAACCGTGACGGTGTGATCCTGAGCAGTGACATCGTCCAAGCTCTTGGGGCGACTATGGGATATCAAATAATAAGCAAAAATATTATCAAAGATGCTGCTCAATGGCGAATTAACTGACTATTTCTCAACCCAGGGCTGGGCACGAACATCTGCTGGCTTGTCGTGTTTCTGGGATGATGTTCCGTTTGTGGCGGCCGCCTTTCTGGCCTTGAGGTCGAAAAAGCTGGCCATGCTTGCTAAAGAGAGCCGTACCAGATGATGCAATTGCCGTGGACAGTTGTCGTTGTTATCAGCGTAGAGATACAGAGGATCAAATCAATATCTGCAGGTGTTAGTTAATGCGTGAACAGAATATGCCCAGGGCAGCCAAAAATCCATTAACGCGTCAGTCTGATAGGCGCGAAGCGCGTAGCCCAAAAAAAGATCCATTGGACCAGCAAGGCTGATGAACCCCGCCATTCCGCGACTCAGCGAGCGTGACCCCACCTACCTAGAGGTACTTCCCGATGAAGCTTGTCGGATGCTGTATTCCGGCACATTTAAGACGCTGTGCAGGGGGGGGTTGGGGTTGCTTCACTTGGTAGGTATAGTTTTATTAATGAGATGGGACTAAATACAATTTCTGTACATTACCTCAGTAGTATATGCTAGGAGAAAGCGAGAGAGGACCATGTCAATACACTCCAAGGCTACCTTCAATTGTTGGGAGGTACGAGTACAGGCAGTTTCCATGTAGGAGGAGGTAGGTGGTCGCAGATGGTACAAGTATGGGTAATGGCGAGGGAGGTACCTCTAGATGACCAGTAGAGACAATGGGAGCTCTTGAGATTGGATCCGATCCATCAGGTACCTCCTCTTTGGGCCACATCTTGTAGTTAGTACTACTAAATACTGCTCACTTCCCCTACTATGCCTGGCACCTAAATAGCCTGTATTAGGGGTAGGTGGCTAAACATGTAAAAGCCCGATAGAGTTTCCATCCAATTCTGCTCACCTACCGCATCAGTCCCTTGTTAGTTGAGCAGTGTGCGCACTCCAGCCTCTCTAGGTTAGTACTAAGGTTAGCAGCTGAATATACAACGTCCCCCGCCTGCATGCAAGTACATGTACCCGCACCCGCTGGGCTGGGCGCTGTTGGCTCTCCGACGAGGCGTTCCGGTGGCACGCATGTTTGCATCAACCTTCACCTTCTGCTCGGGCTTTGTCTTTCTCTTTGTCCCCTCTTCTCCCAATCACTGCCTGTCTAATCAATGCCATGAATTAACTTTGTCGTGTTGATCCCATTTCTCCCATTTTAATCTTCCGTCAATCCCATTCATTTATTTTAGGTTCCTTATCGAGTGCCATTTCTCCCGCCTCTCGGTAGATCCCTCAGGCCAGCCCGCAAGGCAGCTACCCGCTAACTTTTGATTCACTCGGCTGAACCCCTCCTTGCCTGAACAGGCTTCTGCCACTGCAAGGCGACGGCATTAAATTCACCAACTGAACTGCATCCGCCTGGCATAACTCTGCCCTTTGCATATAAAGAATCCGCTGCCGGAGGCTGCCCTTCACTCCAATTTCTCCCGTTGGCTGCCTCTGCAGATGCTCTTCTTGATACCTCCCATCACAGCGCCTCGCCTTCAACATCAGCTTCGAGGCCAGCGTCATGGATCAATCCATCATTCGCATCTCCAAGGTTTGGCTGCTTTTACAAGTCGGTTTGCGGGCGTCACATGGCTGATCAGCGCTACCCATAGGAGCTCAGCGACATCCAGAAGGGATCAGATCTGGGTACGTGACTTTGATCTCAACTCGACCATGACAGCTACCTACCTTGCTATAGTAGTAGGTGGTAGGTGGTAGGTCCCTCATGATTCGGTGCTAACGGACATTTCCTCGTTGCTACAGCCATAGCAGTCGCCTGTCGTGATGTCGACGTTCGCAACGTCAGAGCCCTGATCATGGGCCCGCATGAGACTCCCTACGAATTTGGGTTCTTTGAGGTAAGCTTATGGTAGTGTCTAGCAGACATTGGGTGGGCATCGCATACTATGTACCCGAACACCGTGCTAATACCGCAATCAAGTTTGCCATCAGGTTTAACAGAGGTGAGCCCCAGCGTTTTTCTCCATGCAGTTGACCACACGCAAGGCGCTTACAAACCAAGATTATCCTTCAAAGTCTCCCAATGTTCAGGGCCTTACGACAAATGGAGGCCGTTGCCGATTCAACCCCAATATCTACTCTAGCGGCAAAGTTTGTCTGTCAGTACACAACGTTACTCCTATTCATTTGCTGCCTACTAATCTTCTGATAGGTCAATCCTAGGGTATTTTTCTTTCGGTTCATCCACATGATACAGTTGTTTCAATGGATTTCTGACTTGTTAATAGCACCTGGAGAGGAGAGCGCGGTGAAGAGTGGTCATCAGCACAGGGACTGGAGTCGATATTGTTGTCGATACAGAGTTTGATGTCAGCAAATCCGTACGAAAACGAACCTGGTTTCGAGAACGCAAATGAAGCATCTGATAAACTAGCTCAAAAGCACTACGTCCAAAAGGTAGAGAGATATGGTACCGTTCGTTCCGCACATGAGTCGTGCTAATCTACTTGCAGATACGACACGAAACTCTGAGAATCTCTGTTATTCAACGTCTTGAAGGCTATCTTGGACTGCGGCCCAATGGCGCCAGTGCGCCCCCCGAACCCCTCGATTCCAGCGACTTGGACTATGATGAGCAGCTAGAAGAAGCCAGCAACCCTTTTGAGCCGTTCAAGGACCTTTGCAAACGCCGGTTTCTTTGGTATTATGATTCATATATGGCTGCCGTGACACAGGGCAAATCCGAGGTGGAGGTTCTGCAGCCGTTTGTGAGGATGCCATTCGAGTCTCCGGGGTCCAATTCGATGGATGGCCGCTTCAACTATCCGGAGCTCGAGCGGAGACTCAAAACCATCAAAGAAGCGCTTGATGCAGAAACAACGCGGTGGGCGGAACAAGGCCTCACATCTAAAGCAGGAGAGTCGACAGTTGCCGTGAATTTGCAGCATCAGTTTGACCAAGTGTCGGCCTACCTGAAGCGGGGCGATATGCCGCATAGTGTGCTTCTGGAAGACAATAACCCCTTTGTCTGGTTGATCACATACTTTGGAAGGCCGATGACGAATCTCGATGGTGGCCTCTTCCGCATCAAAATGACCTTCAGCACTCGGTTCCCAAATGAGCAACCGCGAGTCAGGTTTGTGACCAAGATTTTCCACCATCTCATTGCGGCCGATGGAACGGCATGCTACACTCCTAACCCTATGAAGGTGGAAGACGTCAAGTCTCACATCGACGCCATCGTTGAGATGCTTGAAGAGGAGGAGCCGGCATATGATCCGAGGAAGATTGTCAATCCCGAGGCCACCAAGATGTTCTGGGGAAACCAACCGGATGACAAGAAGCTATACAACCGCCGTCTACGGAGATCAGTACAGCAGAGCATGGAGTAAGAAACGGCCTGTGCACCTCTATCTATCCTCTTCATTAGACTGCTTTACTAACCAAGTACCAGTGACGACGAGTGATGAATTATCTCTCCTGGGAGCAAAATAACCATTTAGCGTGCCGTACTTTACGTATTATTGCTATTTTCAAGGGTACATCATGCGACAGGGCTTTGGCGGCGTTTTAGCAGACCGTTTTCTTTTCTTTCCTTACCCCCTTGTGCCTTTATTCCCTTTGTTTTCTCGGAAAGGTAGTTGGGATTTACGGTGCGCCTGGTGACAAAGGGGCGTTTTACCTTCATTCGATACTTCTAGATGGCGCTGGAGGAGAAGAAAGACTAGATTGATATTACTGCTCGTGGTGGATGATTTTACCTTCGATAGGCAGCCTGGGGGAGATGGAGAGAGGACGATAACCCATCTAGTGAAACACTCCAAGATTACGAGTATGACTCATGGCTGAGGCATCTTTGCTATGCAAAAATCTTGGTTCATGCTAACATGACCTCGCCATTGAAGTGGAAAAGGCAACTCTTAACGACGAAATCGAGTTGACTGGTTCAGTCATTTCTTCTGATAAATTTGTGCACCAAAACCATCATCTATTACCCAAACGCCGTGATTGTATGCAGTCTCTGTCGTCCAGTCCCATTTGTCATCCATACGTAAATCATAATGCCGCGAAATAGAAGATAGAAAACCATGTAAAGAAAATACCCAACCAACCAGTGGCGCTCATTTCCTACTCTTCGTCTTCTTTTCAATCTTGTCCTTGAGCGGCGCATACGGAGCTGCCACGCCGGGGTATTCTTCTTGCTTGCCATCGCCACCCTTGAACTGATACACGCCCCCAGCGCCCATGGTCGCCGGCGTGCCCTGCGTAGGCCGGCTCACCTGTTCGGCGTGTAACTTGTCGAGAGATTCGCCCACGACTGCGTACTGCGACCAGTTGATGGGCGGGCAGCGGACCACATCCTGGGCCTTTGGTATCGGTTGCGCGACCCACGCACGGGTCGTCTCGTCGTCAGGTTGCGCCCCTCGGCCGACTTTGCCCATGGCCAAGTCACGGGCGAACTCGTCTGGGTGCTCCACGGCCTCGTTCTTGATCTGGCTGAGGGCCTGGATGTCGGCCGTCGCGCGCATCCGCTGCATCTGCAGCACGGCGATGGCCGACTTGAGGGCGATGACGTCCGGGTTGGTCTCGAACTCGATGGGCTTCGAGGGCGGCGGCGGCAGGCCAACTTGATCAGGCTGCGAGTGCGACAGGGTCGAGCGCGCGGGCTGTTGTTGTTGCGCCGCGGCGGCGGCAGGCGGCACAGGAACAGGAACGGGCACGGGCACGGGCACGGCGGCGGCAGTTGTGTCCTTGTCTGCGTCGCTGGAGAGCTGCGCGGGAGGCAGGGTGGGCGTGATGGGTGACATGGGAGGCGGCACGGGCGACGAGGGTCGGGAGTCCATGTTCATGTTTGTCGAGATGGTGAGTGCCGGGGCCATGTTCAGCGCACAATGCGCCGGGGCCAGCGGCGAGTAAACTTGGGCGGCCAGAAAAGGGGGGGAGATTTGCTTGGGCCGATGGGTAGATGGGGGCGAGAACTTGGTATGCGTGGCTGATGGGATGGTTTTGGTGTTTGGTTCAAGTTGAGACATAGAGTTGGACGGGCCGATGTCATTGTTTGATGGTTGCCTTAGTAAGCTCATGATGCAATCCCTCCAAGTGTCACAGAACTCTCAGAGAATGGACGAGGGTGTCTTTGTCAGCTGCCGTTGGGATATATACGTTATTATCTCTTATTGTATGATTTTATATCTTTCAATGGCAGTGGCTATTTAGCAACCTAGTACTAAGGTGGTCCAAATTTCAGAATAGGATGCGAAGCAATGCCTTTCAGATACCTACTCAAGTGCCTGAGGGATACACGATTCTTTGATTACCATCTGCCCTTATCACTGCTTGCGGCTACGATTGCCACTTTCTACTACTATCACTACTATTTTCTATTGTTTTACTACAGCAGTTAGTACTCTTTTAGTATCTGGTATCATCACTACGTGTATCTATAAATTGAAACGGAATGCTGTGTAGCAAACCTAGGCCGCTGAATACCCACTCCCATGTAGGGTAGCTTCAATACCTTGTAAAAGAAGCCATATCATGGTCACCAACAACGCTGTTGGTCTCACTGAGACATTGGCATTACTGAGCCGAAATAATCCAAAAATAGACTCGGGCTTCTGCATTGGAGCTGAACAGATAGCTGTGATAGTGCAACGAGGCGAGAGTGCGGCTGAAATAAGATGGGTTCTCGTACTCGTATATGGCCAGCATTGCCATGCCGCTGTGAGGGAACTGGCCAAGGTTTCACAGCAATAACGAAAGACTCTTGGCTGCTACCATATGTCCAATTAACAAACGGAAACAAGGTAAATTGGACTGGAAGGGATTCACCATCAACAACTCTACTGCGCGGGCCTCGAAAAAGCAAAACTCTGGCTAACTTGCAACGGCAATATTCCCGCTTGATCCGCCAGCTTCCAAAAGTCTAGACCTTCTGTTGGAGAAGCTACTTTGCTGTAGCTGATCGACCAGCATCTCGATTAGATACGGGAGCTAACCCTTTCCAAAGCAACAACCCTGTCTCAGCGATGCCTCTTGCAAGAACCAACAACGGGGACTTGGTTGCCATTCCAGATCCCCCAATGACTTCACGGAGGGGCCATCAACTAGGGCGGCACTATGCGGGAATAATAACAAGCAGTTGTTCAAGGGCCTTATTGGCCTTCAAAGGTTCCCTCTCTTGAGTCAACTCGCCAGACTCTAGTACCTCAAACCAAGGAAGGAGAGTTTCTTCTCGCAGTATTAGTGCGCTTCCAGTGTCTTGTATCTACGTGTATCCATCGCTAATTTGAGTGAAAATGACCGACAAGAACTGCTTAGGTTGGAGAATGAATTGTACGCCGCGGGACCTGCAATATAATGACGAAGTGGCTAGTAGTTGATGCTACACACCCACGGGAAACCTCTTTTCCGCGCCCAACTTTGTTCCAATTGGAGTGCTGATCTTTTTGTTTTCCCCAACTCGTCGTCGTAAAGCGGCCTTTTGTGGCTTGCCGAGAACAAAGTCGCATCGAAATTCTGTTGCCATGGGATCCATCGCAACGTGGACGCCACATGATGCTCAGCTGTCGCCGCTACAAAGGTCGCGGATGCAGTCCGAGCAATATCGAAACATCGGGCTTCTCCCTTTAGAGCCCGTGCTGCATCAACTTTTGTAACATATCGAATGGCAGAAGCCCACTAGTGGCGGTGCATCGCCTGTTAGCTTTAATCTTCTTGGGCGGCTTGCGCAGGGAAGAAAACAGAAACACAGCGTGAGAAGTGACGCAGCGGCACATCCCCCCTGTTGTTGGGCAGCCATTGAAACTATTGCGCGCCAATCTGCAGCATGCCGCGCGAAGTGAGATCCAAGCCAATATTCTCGACGCGGCTGTGGCCAATCCCAGGAGCCCGCAGCAGTTGGTCCATTGGATGCTACTGTAAACCTCTAGTGTCGGATATTGGCCCAGAAGCGATGGAATGGGAACGCGAAAAAGGCCGTGCCGTGTGTGCAGTACAAGTACATGTGAGCAATCGTTTGCAGGCAAAAAGGGACGGGAGCTGGCAAGCAAGGAGGCGAGCTTGAAGAAAGAAGATGAAGAAAGTGTTCGTACCTATTCATCATATGACCAGTGCCATTGTCTTTTGGACCCTCGGTTGCGACTGAGCTGTTGTCAGCCCTGAGTGAATAGTCCACAGCTCATTATGTTGATTGTCCGCTCTCAACAATAGACAGCAGAAATACCGGAGAGAGAACGCAAGGCACAGTCACTCATTGCGATTTTAAGAACGTGCGAACCCGCTGCCTCGTGGTTCCGGAGCCGCGATTTAGTTCCTGGGAACCACCCCCTCCTGGGCAACAAACCTTTCTGCCACATCCCGACAACTTGAGTCTTCGTCCCTCCACATTATTTTTAGTCTTGGTTTATTTGTCAAGGCTCCCTTTGGATCAACCGACTCGACTCTCCCATAAAGAAGCCACTGAGTGTTCTGCCATCAGCGGCGTGTCTTGTCTTCTACGTCGGTTCGACGCCACATGCAGAATTCCCATCTCAAACCGACCTTGATACGTCTTCGCATCTTCATATTTGAAAACGTCTCTGTGATTTCGCCTGCTTCGACATCATCTTACTTTCCTCTCGTCGTCTCTTCTAGGCCTGGAATTCCAGTCAAGCATCGTCTGCCTTAACCGCGGGGATACGTTAGCCTACCAACATTCTCTTGAGTTGCAGCTCGGATTCTCTCAGCTTCCAATTGGTCATGTCTACATCATAGTCTATCAATCGTACTTCTGGCTCGCCGAATGTTCTTGGAAGACTATGTCTGCTCCTTCGCCCGACAACACTTCTTCACCTTGCTCAGATAATCAGCTCACGCTGCCATCAACCTCGCTACCTCGGACTATCGGGTTTCGCAATTTTTCATATCCATTTTCTCTCACTGGAAAGACGCCTCTTGCTTCACATAGTTCGCCATCGCCAAACGCGGCGCGGGACTCCTTTACAACTCCTCCGAACCAGAATTACCCACGTCTCATCGAAAGCAGAGTCCCAACTCAAAGTCCCATCTCGACCACTCAGACATACGGCGGATAGCACCCGGCATCTTCTGATGTGGATAGAAGTCCGCTCTTGAATCGCTTCCTATCGCGAAGCTCTTCGACCAACCCATCGTCTATTCAGCCATACTTGTCGCCAAGCACGGGTAGTCAAGGCGTTTCACCAACCGGCGCGACGTTACCAAACTCAGACCAACATTTCAAGAGACTTTCGCCGTCGCAAAGGCTGTCTTTAGGACAGTACAACCTTGAACGCCACCAGGAGACGAACATTACTCCCCGGAAAGTCAGAGCCGATGGCCGACCAGTATCTTTGTCTACAGACGCACCATTAGACAATCCTCTAGATTGGGTAGCTACGAGCGCAGCCTCTCGCAGCTCAAGATACGACCCAATCTTTCTCCTCCCTTTCAAGCAAACCTCCAGAATGGCTACCTCAACCTCAGGCGCTACGAGCTCCGGATCGAGGAACACATCGAATCAGTCTCGTGGCGAATATGACCCTTCATTGAGCAGCGAGGAACCTCGATCCGAATACACCACCATGTCCGGAAAGAGACGTCCCCGTTGGATGTCACAAGTCAAAAATTGGCTGGCGACCAGCGAGCCCTCAGCTCAAGCGATGAGGGACCAAAAGAAGGACGCCTTCAAAAAGCACGGCGTCGACATCAAAGATCCACAAGCCGCGGCAAAGATGCACTCTCCCCTGGGAAAAGTGCCGCTGGATGCTATTACATCTACATCAGGGCCTACCCCCGAGAAGGCTCTCAAGGAAAAAGTTCGAGTAAAGGAGACCCCGGCACCAGGTGTGAGACATAGCCGCGGCTGTCAGTCGGTATCGAGCAGCGTTTCATCGCTACCGAGTGTGAAGAGTGGCAAAGTCTGCAATACAATCGCGCCATGGGAAGAGTAAGGATACAAAGATGGAATTCTTCTTTTCTGTTCCTTTTCTTCTTCTTTTCTTTCTAGAATGCTCTTTTACGAACTCTACGAGCTTATGATTTGCGTTGACAATATCGAAGTGGCTTCTTTTTATGATCATCTTCTTTTGCTACATGACATCGAGGGCTAGAGCAGGCATTGAAGAGTCTTTACATGCATACCTGGCTGAATGAGTTTCAGATTAGTTCAATACCCCGTTTTAGTTTTGCTTCTCTAGGTACTATATGGAATGATAAAAGTACAGCACTGGGTAGTTACAGCCCGAATTGATATCCAAATGCATGGTTGAGACATTGCAGCCTTAGTTGGAATCACCCGACCTGGTGCTGTGATACAATTACACATATAGACATTTAAAGAGGGAACGCCCATTCATTTTGCTATTCAGCATCCCGTGTTCTTATTACTCAAGTAAATGCTTGATAGTAGTAAATAAATGGACTGCCCTTTTGAAACCGATGCGTCATGTAAATACCTGACATATGTAGTCTTAAAACACAACATGTTCTAGCCGGACTCAGCCTCGAGGTGAAAAAGATGCATCACATGATCGTGGGCCACCGCCTTAATGCGTGCTCAATCGCCAATCGCCATGCTTGCAAGCAACACAAAAGCTTCTTCTGCCCAGAGGCTAGATCGATCTGGTGCGAGTCCAATTCGAAAAAATCCGGAGCAAAAGTCACAGATGGATGGGCGCGGCAAGATGGTGATTGGTGGATGCGGGCTGAATGGTGTCGGCAATATGACGTATGCACTTTTGCAATCTCGGGATCAGGATGACACTGCTTTGACGATGGACAGACACTAAATGGGCACGGATTGGGAAGCTCGTGTGGAGGCGAATTGAATTGTAGGGGGCTTGTAGCTTTTGGACTTTTTTATTTTCTCTTTTTATTTTCTTTCAATTTCTTCATTTGAAGCCTTCCAGCAATACCAGCTCATGGGGTAGCTACTGGTTCTAGAAAGCCCCCCCCCCCCCATCGTCCATCTTTCCATCTATTGTTTACTATGCCCTTGTTTACCAGCTCCAAAATGGACGACGATGATAATGAGCAAGTCATTCGCCCAGAGGATCGGATTGACAATGGGGAAGGTGAGCGGCCGCCAGACGAATACACTCGGCTGCTGCCCAACCGCGTCAACTCCAATAGGGACTTCCTCGCCCCTGATGATCCCGCAGTGTCGCCGTATAACCTCTTCAGCATTCGCATGCTCCGCTACCTGACATTGCTCTTCACGGCACTGACGTTCTTGTGGTGGGTGATTCTGCTGGTGTCTGCATTTGCGACGGCTCCTGGGTTCCACACAAAGGGGAGCGGCTTCTTTGCGTTTGGCTACACGAGCTTGACGCTGGCCATTATGTTTTTCACCTTGCTCTTCTTCGGGGTGCCTTCCAAAGCAGTGAGGATACTCGGAATTGTAATTGCCGTAAGTGCTGCAGCTGCTGAACTTTACCACGGATGAATACTAAAGCGAAAGACGCGGGCGGTAGGCTTTTCTCGCGCTCGACATGATTCTTCTCCTCTCAGTCCAGAAGACTAGGTACGAGGAGGGCTGGGTCGGAATTGTTAGCGTCATATGGGCGCTACTCATGAGCATATGGGCCGTGGTCGCGGACAGAACTGTGAAATGGGGCAAGGAAGAGGAGGAAGAGAGATTGACCGGCCGTCCTGAAACAAGAAGAACACTGTCGGAATGGCTCGAGGTCCTGCTCTCGACCATTGGCTACTCTGTCATGGTGGTGGCCGCAGTCCTGATAACGCTAAACATCATCCTCCGAGCTCTCGATGCAAGAGTTGCACCACCTGGCAAGCTGTACTGGGTCGACGATAACAAATATCGTATCCACCTGTATTGCCATGGGAACAAGACGGACGACAACGGCAAAGCAGTCACAACCGTCCTCTTCGAGGGAGGCGAGTGGCCCGTCGAGTACGGCCTATGGGATTTCGCAGACAATGCGGTCAAGAACGGGTCCATTTCTCGCTATTGCTTCGCAGACCGGCCAGGGCTGGCTTGGTCTGATACCGCCCCGTCGCCGTCATCCGCCGGCTTCGTGGTGGACGCCTTGAGCGAGGCCCTGGCCAAAGCAGGAGAGGGAGGGCCCTGGGTTCTCGCTAGCGCGGGCATCGGCTCCTTGTACTCGCGAGTGTTTTCAGCCCGCCACAGTCACGACGTTCGGGGCCTGCTGTTGATCGACCCCCTGCACGAAGATCTGCTGGGCCCCGGCGCAGCGCCAGGCCGAGGCTTCTGGCTGTGGTTGCGAGGCGCCATCTCGCCGCTTGGGCTGGATCGGATTCCGGGCGCGCTGTTTCAAGGACGCTCCAGCCGCGACCGCATCTACGGCCGATCCGCTCCGCAGACGGGCAAGTTCATCTTTGCCAAGCTGCAGGAGAGCTTGGTGCTCAACTCCTTCACCAAGCGCGACGTCGACAGCAGCCGGCAGATCCAGGAGAGGGACACGCCGCTGGCGGTGATTAGCTCGGGGCTCAAGATCAAGAAGGACGACAATTGGGCGAGCAAGCAGAAGGACTTGACGGGGCTGACCGATAAGCTTCTGCATTGGGACATCGTGGACGAGGCACCCCACGAAGTGTGGCGGACTCTGGAGGGGCGCGACAAGATTGAAAAGAGGCTGAAAAAGATGGTCTAAAAATAAGTGGCCAGGGGGGGAAGCCTTGAAAGGAAAAAAGGCGAATACGGGAGTTTTTCTTCGAGCGCGTGGACGCAGGTACAGCGCACCAGAATCTGCCTGACCGTACTGTACTTGTCCAAGGTGGCACCAATCGGACGATTGATACCGCCATGTAGGACTTTGTTGTTGTTGTTGACATCTTATTGATGGGTTTACCCTTTTCTTCATCTTTTTTTTTGTTGCTGGGGTGAATGAAGCTGCTTGTGGGAGAGAAGCACTGGACGATGGATTCAGCTGCGGCGCAAACCTACGTCTGCAGTAGGTATGAACTTGGATAGTAATTGAATGCGAAATAACTTTGATACCTTGATCTACTTCATATTTCCATCTTGACAGAAGCAATGGTGTCCAGGCATCGAGTCGAGATGCAGACAGAAAGCAGCCCATTCTTGACCCTGTCCGGCATTGGCCACTGCGGAGGCCCCTGACAGCAAACCTACAGGCATATACACGTATAGCCCAGCGCCGAATGCTGCTGAAAGGCGTCCGGTGCTTGTAGTAATCCCATTTTTAGATACCCATGAAGCATGTGCTCGTACTCACGGATACGAGGAAGAAGGGCAATGCGGCATCTATAGTGCTCGCACAATATGAATGAGACGGTGCTGGCAATTGGAGTTGAGGGATTTCGCGATGCGCACGTCTTGACTCCCTACTGAGATACCTGGCTTGGGTACATGTGCCTAGACGTCATAGCAGGCAGCCCGCCTCCTTTAAGAAATAAGCGCGCAAGGTTGCACATCAAACACTGCAGTGCCGTGCAGGTGCCGCGCCGCACCGCAGGAGAAATAAAAAAAAGGGAAAAGTGATGGATGGCCCGAGGCTGGCATCCAGGGTCTTGTAGCAGCAGCTACGGGGTACAAGCAGAATCCAGAGATCTCCAAGCAGAGGCGGATTAAGGTTAGGTATAGTTAGTATCTAAGGTAAGGTACCTAGGTAGTCGAAAAGATTAGATGAAAAGGCTCTACGTAGTACAAGTACGAGTAACAGGTGCTCGACCTGACAATTAAGGAGCCGTGTGTTATGCAGTTGAGCCGTTTTGGCACGGGGGGCAGCTCTTTGAAGCAACTGTGTCTCTGTGGAAACTGGATAGCCCAGGCCGTCAATATTGATCAAACAGAACCTGAAGAGAGACTAGCTACCGAGCGTGAACCCCTAAACCCGTCGATTCGAACCCTCCCCTGGCCCACGCCGCCCTGTCACGATGAGTACGAGTATCTGTACAGTAGAAGGGAAATGCGCTCAGCTCAATTGAGAACAGACAGACACAAAGGGGACTTTTTTATGCTTACCACCTTATGCTCAAACCTTGGAGCAAGGGCTTGTGGAACGGGCCGGCTTTGCCCATCTCAACCGGGCTGATCTCGGCTATAATAAATCGACTCCGTAGTGGTAATGAATATCGAAATCTAACCAAGCAGCTACAGGGCCTGGCCTGATTTTCTAACGCCTCTGAAACAAAACAGCTCGCCGTGCAATCGGTAAAGTTTTGCGCAGAGTTTCGTGTAGATGGTTTCGCGACGAAGGCTGGCTTATCAGATGAAAAGATTCCTCTTTTCATCCCTCCTCAAGTACCAAGGTATTCATAGATTGTGTTTGTAAGGTACCTAGGTAGGTACTATATTTGCTCTCAAGTGAGCCCAGTAGTATTTGTCTTCTGTGGCGCTGATGTTGGAGCGAGTACATGTAACCTTTTGCTGCACTCGACACCTGACAGATACAGGGATCAAAACTGACAGATGCAACGAACAAAAATAGAAGCCACACAGCAAGTACCGAATCAATACCGATCACCGAGCTACGCGGTACCTATGCATGGATAATAAGGTACCCGACTTGAATGTGGCGTTGACAAGATTTCGGAAAGGGAGCTAAGCTTTTCAAACTCTTTGCATATAGTATGTTTCCTTTTCTGGCTTCCCTGGCGCTCGGAAACAGGAGCATGAGACATGTCAAGCACCTTATAACTGCTCAGAAAATCGAGGGTTCTTGATCATCATGTTGGCGTCCTGCTGGTGAATGGAATCAACTAGGGGTCTACCTGGTATAAACCCACTACCACCTCCTGGGGATGCCACATCCAGGTAGCGGCACAGCTCTAGATAGCACTAATCCAGCCTTGAGTACATTAGCTCCAGCACCATGAAGCACTTCACAGGTCTCAATGCCAGACTTCAATTCATTCACCTTACTCATCCGGCCGCTCTCAGGGATGGTTCTGGCAAAAGTTCAGTCCATGCTGCGGGCTTCCGCACACGAGCTGGAATCTAGATGTGGCGCAGTTGAGCAAACTGACACGAAGTGCGCCTCGTTTGGGAGGGGGAATAAGGTGCTGAGCTCTCAGCGACTCACTGCCAGGTAGTATTAAAGCGTCATAATTGATGCTCGTCCCGTCGTGTTGCTGCTCGAAGAAGCGTAGGACTTGGCAGCTCCAAAAGTAAACGGTACATGCCAGCCAGGCGCCGTGACACCGCGCTGCCGAGTATCAGCGACCTGATCCATTAGCGGCCCAGGCCATCAGAAGCACCACAGCGCCCATCAGCGACCAGGCGACCTGGAAATTACCTCCAAACTAGCCGCCCCTCAGAAACCACAGCGACTCCACGCGCTGTCAGCAGCCGCCCTCGACCGCCCCCCAGTCCCGTGAGTCCAACAAAGTGCGCCCAGCTCTCCTCCACTGGCTGAGAATCCACGGCCTGTTGACTCTCTCTCTCGCCATCACGGCTGTTTCTACCCTCTCGACGGCAACAGGCCTCCTTTCTCACTCCTTCTCCCCTCGTTCTGTGCCGGCGCCGTCGTTCCTCGGCCGCTGCGTCTCGTCTCTCGTGCATGTTGACGCCACGCGCATCTCCTCTGATCTCCCCCATCTCACGACTCCGCGACCCTCTGCGAGCTCTTCTCCCAGCCTGACGCTCTACCGAAGCGAGAACCGACTTTATTGCTGCTAGGCTGTCACGCGGATGTCAGTCGCGCTCTGCTTTGGATCGTGAACCACTTGGGATACGCTGTCGCGCATCGCTCTGTCTGGAGCCGTGACATCGCCCTCAATTGGAATCCATATCGCCAACGAGAGCCCACCCCAGCTGATGCCGGCCGTGGCCGCTACCCCTCGCCGACGACTACTAGATACCGGGCGTTGAGACGGGGCAGAATCATCATAGCCATCCCCTGGACTGCAAAGAGGAACACGCGTTCGGGAGGAAACACGCCGCAGCATCTGCCATGGCAACCGACCACAGCAACGGTCCGCCTGTGGATGTAACCCACGACGACGGCCCCAACGACCACGCGAATGAACACACCGGCCATGCAGACGCCAGCTGGCAGAATGGATCATCGCAAGCACCCAACCCGACAGCACCAGGCCCCAGCGGCCCCTTACCGCCGCCAGCAGGATATGCAGACGAGCCCACAAACGGCAGCGATGTGAGCCGTCCGCGGCCGAGAAACGGACGATCTGTCAGTGCCCAGTCGAGGGTTTGCAAAAAGTGTGGCCTGCAATTGACGGGACAGTTCGTCCGAGCTCTGGATGGAACATTTCATCTGGATTGCTTCAAGTGCCGAGTAATACCCAACCCCCCTCTCCCCCCTCTTGCTTCCATCTCCTTTCCTCGTCCCCCCACTTTACCACCTCTCTACCGCGAGATGTTCTAACCTCCCTCGACAGGATTGCGGCGAGATCGTGGCATCCAAGTTCTTCCCCGCCGAAGATGAAAACGGAGGACAATATCCCCTCTGCGAGACTGATTACTTCCGACGCCTCGGCCTCCTATGCCACCAGTGTGGTGGGGCCCTTCGCGGGTCGTACATAACCGCCCTCGACCACAAGTATCACGTTGATCATTTTACTTGCTCACTCTGTGCGACCGTCTTTGGCGCCCAAGACAGCTACTACGAGCATGATGGACACGTCTACTGCCACTACCACTACTCAACCCAGTTTGCCCAACGATGCAATGGCTGCCAGACAGCCATCCTGAAGCAGTTTGTTGAGATATTCCGCAATGGGCAGAACCAGCACTGGCACCCCGAATGTTACATGATACACAAATTCTGGAACGTACGTCTAGCTCAGCCGACCGAGGTGCCCCAGATCGAAGAGGCAGATGTGAGCGATCTCATCAGGGACCGCATTCGTGAGGATGAAGAACGCATGGAAGACAAGGTTTTCAGAATATGGAGTGTTCTATCAACGTTCGAAGAGTCATCTGCCGCGTGCATATCTGATATGCTGCTTCACGTCAGTAATGCCTCGTACGTCGACGGTGTGCTGGTTGCGAAGCGTTTCATCTGGCACGTTGAGATCCTTTTCCAAGCTGCAGATAGGCTAGACGCCGCTGTTTCAAAAGAAAGCGAGAAAGGTAAGCTTCCGAATGGAGGGGAGAAATGGTCCATCTCTTTTGGAATGAATATGTGGGCAACGTGTTATATATCGGAGGCGCTAATGTGCGATTGTATTTATAGCCATGTCTTATGGTCGAGAGGCCAAGCTTCTCTGCAAGAAGATTGTGGCCTTCTTCTCCTTGCTGTCGAAAACGCAGGATAATGGATCGCGGCAGCTGGGTGTTACCCAGGAGCTTCTGTCCCTCGTCACCGGCTTGGCCCACTATCTCAAGCTGCTCATTCGCATTTGCCTCCAGGGAGCGCTACGCTTGGAGCGAGACGCGAGCTCCAGCGATGGCCTTCACCAGTTTCTGGATAATCTGAACGACTTTGAGAGCTACAAGGGCGACGAGGGCCTCCTGCAAGTTACCATGGGCGGCAAGCGGCTTTCGGCCAAGGACTCGGATCACTGCGCGCAGTGTGGCAGGTCGGTTGAGGACGAATGTGCCAAGACTGGCGATTCGAGATGGCATATTGGATGTGTCAACTGTTCTCGCTGCCAACGAGAGCTTGGCCGTGCCCTGGAGGAAGCTCACTTCAACGCGCTGGAACGCAAGATTTACTGCGTCACATGCATTGGAGGCAAAACCGACGGCCTCGCGCCCTTTACCCACATTTCCAAACTTCAACAATACGTCTTCCTTCTCAAAGTTGCCCTGGCAAGACTGCTAGATATTCTGAGAAGCAATGGCGCCCTAACGTCTGGAGACATCGGTGCAGACGGCAACTTTGACCCCTCTCGTCAAAATGCAGGTGCCAGGCCGAGGCAACCAGGCGATGCAAATGATAAAAGCCGTCGTCGCGAGTCAACATACGAAACGACCCTCAATGAGGTTCGAAGACTGCGCAGCACACGTCTCGATCGACACTTGTCATCTAGCGTCAGACAAGCTCGGACATCTCGTGTTATGGATGCTGATGGACGAGGTCCCCGTCCTGCATCTTCTGGAGGAGAGGATAAGACTCAAGGATCAACAGACCAAATGTTTGGGCAAAACGACGCCATCACATTGGACGATATTTCTCGCATTGTAGCTGTTGAGCAGTCTCGTGAACAACAACAGCGCCGTGACCGACTACCACCCAGCGATATTTCGCGATCTGGTGCCCCTGACCAAGGCCTCGGCTTAGGCCACTCAAGGACGCAGTCAGTTGGGCCGGATCTGCAGGCAGCTGACCCTATGATGTCTCGAGTTGGCAGGAAATTCTTCCCCGAACTGTCAGGCCTCGAATACTTCAATGTCAGACATCTTGCCGTCCTGATTATGCATCCCGTGGTCGAATCAGAATTCACATTAGAGGAACTGTTGAGTTTCATTGAATCCAGAAAACCGGCCACGTTCTGGAAGAATCTGGGCAAAGCATTCAAGAATGACAAAAGCAAAGGTGTCAAGAAGAAGGGCGTCTTTGGTGTGCCCTTGGAGATTATCATTGAGCGAGATGGCGCCGACTCAACAGACGGCGTGGGACCTGGCACTCTGCGCATCCCCGCGGTCGTCGACGACATTATCTCATCTATGCGCAAGATGGATCTCTCCGTTGAAGGCGTGTTCCGTAAAAATGGCAATATCAAGAAGCAACAGGCAATGGTTGATAAGATCAATGCGGAAGGCTGCGATACCGTCAATTTCATGGAGCAGCCAGTGATTCAGCTGGCAGCAGTTCTGAAGAGATACTTACGAGACCTCCCAGATCCTCTCATGACCAACAAGCTTTACAAGCTGTGGATCACCGTTGCCAAGATACAAGACCCAGCTCGGAAGCTGCAGTGTCTGCACATGGCCATGTGTCTCCTTCCCAAGAGTCATCGTGATTGTTTGGAAATTCTTCTCACATTCCTCAAATGGGCCGGCACTTTCCACCAACTGGACGAAGAGGTCGGGTCCAAGATGGACGTAAGAAATCTGGCAACCGTTATTGCACCCAATATTTTGATGAACCCTGCCAAAACACTTTCCATGGACAGCGAGACTATCTATGTGATTGACGCAGTGGAGATTCTTATTGACAATATCGAAGAGATGTGCCAGGCAAGTATTCCCATTATAAACACCGGGAAATCTCGATTGCGATGAAGCAAGGCGATGCTAATGAGCTGTTTTAGGTTCCCGACGAGATTCTTACACTGCTAAACGACCCCTATCTTTTCAGCAACAATGGCGAAATCTCAACCAAAGAGATTATGAAACGCTACCAAGATATCAGAGGACAAGCCCCTGCCGAGCCGAGCGAGGTCTACAATCGGCAAGAGAGCTCGACCCGTTCGCCACCGAAGCGAGGCGAAACGGATCCGTCCGTCTGGCAGGGCGAGAGGTCAGTCCGGCCGATGCAGGACAACCCTCCTCCCCCGCCAAATTCCACTACGCCGGTGCCACCGCCGCGGTTCAGGCCCCCAGAAGACCAGCCCTCTCCCTATGATGCCAATCAAATTGATCAACCCAATCCCCATGGGGAGAACCCTGATCACAATCAGCGGGGAGAGTGGCGGAATTCTGGCGTTTGGGGCCGCCAAGGCGGTGGGGTAGGTGTTGGCGAGCCTTTTTGATTTTCCGGTTAACCGTTTGTGCTTTGTCTACTGATTTGGCAAGAAGCCAGAGAAGATGTGTTTAGTATGTGTGTGTGTGTTGTTATATTCCCTTTATAGGAAATGCGGCCCGGAATCAGTGTCCATTTAGCATTTCTCCAGGCGTTTATCGATTACTTTTGTCCATCTTCACTGCAGACAGTCAAGACCGAACTTTCTTACTCTGACGTTCGATACGACAATCCTGGCGATGCTATTTCTTGAGTTAGTCTCTTTTCTTCTTCTTCTTTCTTCACCTATCTATTCGCTTTTGCTATTCTACTTTCACCCCCTTTTGTTTTATCTTTATTCTTGTACTTTCATGAGCGGTCCTGGTTGGCACTCTTCAAAAAAGTTTATATCTGTATGTGCGAGTTGGGCGCGGATGTAGTGTATAGCATATGTGGCATTTGAGTGCGAGCGATTTAAAGCCCCCGCCCTTTGCAACTGCTTACCATTGTTGTGTTTTTTTAGTGTTGTGTGGAATAAGAGAGTCAAAAAAAAGACGAATTTGTCCGCCGGGTTTTCAATTATTTGTACATCTCCCCCTCTCTCTTCGTTTTGAAAGAGATCATAGCCTGTTTATGATGAGGCAGACGCCGGAAAGAAATCCTCTTTTGCCCTTGCTTCCTAGAAAGAGAGAACCTAAAAAAGGACTATTACAACAACGAGAAGTCAAAAAAGGAAAAAAGGAGAAAAAGAGTCATTCGAATTGTGACGCTTGGAGTTCTTTTTTTTAATGCTATGAGGGGAGGAAAGGGAAAGGGATGGGCATGAAAGGATTTTACCTTATTTTTTTTTCTCTACGATCCAGGAGATTTGTTGTCTTTTTTTTTTCTGTTCGATATTTTGTAGCCTTTTGAGAGGAAGGGAAATCTGGAGATTTTTTCGTGTTGGACGGGGAGTTTTTACAGAGACAGATGAGACAGAGACAGACGAGTCGAGAAGGGGAGGTTGTGAGAATATATGAAGATACTTTGTTGGCTTCTTACTACGTTTGCGTCTTGTATGTGTGTATTTGCTGACCGTGAATCATTGCTCTTTGCACTTTTGAGAACAATTGACTCGGGTTGATGATGGTTTGTGTGCGTAGCGCCCTTCGGCTCTTTTAATTTGCCATGGCCACCGCTATACTTTTTATCGCGAGTTACTACTGCCTCTATTATTGGAACATCTTTCTAGTATCTGCCACTATTGTTTTATTCCTCTCATTCCTTGCATTCTCCCTTATTTATCACCATGTACTTTTAAAATTGAGATACGGGATGCTGAACAGCAGTCTCGGAGTGCTAGCTGGTAACTTGTCATGGCAACTGGTATACTTTGCCATACATCTAACCGTCTCGAAGTATCCTGGAAGCTACAAACCCCAGCGCTCATAGACTCATCTTGTACGCTCTCGTCCAACTAACATGTACATCATCAGCCCAGCTATACGTACACCCAGTCCAAAGGCTGGGGCGTAGCCTTCCTCTGACCTAGTTGCTGCAGCTTTACTGAACCTCTTGATAACAAATATAACCTCCATACATACACCCAGTACGTGGTTGTCTGCGGCTAACAAAGTGTCCAATACGTGGTAGAAACCAGCGAGTTTGAAAGTGTCTGCTAGACGTATATACCTATCCATCCATATCTTCCCACCTCGGGATTTTTGTCAATGTTGTAGACGGAAAAATATCAAGAGCATCGCTTTTGTATTGAAGTCGGCGCTCAGCAGACGCGCTGCCGTCAATGAGACCTCACGCCATTTATCTATAATCTTCTCTTTTAGAACAGGGAATGAGGACTAATGTTCAATAAATCAAGTGTGATTTCGGCGGTGCTGTGTGCGATGGCTAAGATTGGGTAGATGGATATTGCGCCCTAACACAGTATTTACATTATTTTCCTAATTTTATGTCTCCAGCCATTGATCCTTCACTCCCAGTAATATACGTCCTCAATGATGTTTTCCAAGATGATTAGTCGATCTGGATAATCTGGTGGTATCATACCAACACTCTTCCATATCATTCGTACAGCTTGAGGAAAGCTAAGAGTAGGTCCCCGGTCCGATACTACGTTTAATGTGCTAAAACAATCTCCGAGGCTGTTTAAGAGTAGTGACCGATCTGGGTGATTTAGCAGTGTAGTGTAAATAACCTCTCCTAGTATGGTCATTGCTTGAAAACCGTCGCTCGAGAAGGTAGTGCGCATTGGCCTATCTCTTAGATGAACTGCAAGGGATTGCAAAAGCTTCTCCCGGTGTGGATGATATCTCGGAGTATTCTCAAGGACTTCCCTCGATTCATCAAAAATTGAATCTAAGTGACCTGTTGGATCGAACTTTGGGCCTTCATGATTTTCATAGTTGCTCAACATGGTGGCCCGGCTGGGGTGATCTTGAGGCATTGCGTAGATAGCCATTATAGCGATTTGAATCGCAAACTCAAAGAAGAATATCAGGTCAGAATTGAAGAAAATCTGGTCATTATTCCAGCAATAGTGGTCTCCTAGCACTGTAGCTAGCGTATTCAACTTCTCAGATACCTCCATGGGTACGGCAGTTTGATGTCCTGATTCCCGGGCCCTAAACTGTTGGATGTGATGAGCCCCATTTTCAACCGCATAATCTATAAACTTATTGGCAACGATATAGTCATGGACTTCCTTGTGATTGATTAATTCGCTGTCACATTTTAATGTATCGTGTGTATATAGGAGGTAAGCTTGACAGATCTCTGCAAGGACCCCATGTGCTTGGTAGTCATTTATAGAGTGTTGCCAACGTCCAGATGTGACCGGCATGATTTCAGATGGAGACGATTGTTGAAGAAATTCTCGAGCAGTTTGATGGAGGAAATAAACATGGTCATCATAAATTGAGACAAATAACCCACACCAAGACCGAAGACGAGACTTGAAATCTCCATCTGTTTCAGGGTCGACTGTTCGTGATGAGGCGTCAAAGTTAACGGCTTGATTCATTTGCCTTAACGACAATGGTACTTTCGCCCCAAAGATGATAATTATCACTTTCCGAACCATCGGATCTTGCTTAGATCGGCTAAGAATCCGCTCGTATGCTTCGTTAACGCTCAGTGGAAGTGCCATAAGAATGGATTCTACTCCCTTCAAAGTTTTTTTGAAGTCTTCTTCCTCCAGATAGTTAAATATTAGATATACCCATAGATAAGTACGATGAGAAGCCTCTTGTAGCCTTGTTTTTAGATACTCTGTTATATCGGTAGAGAGGCCTTTCTTTTTTGAGAGTTGGTCAAGCCGATGCTGAATAACATGATCTATCTCGTGGCTAATAACTTCTGATGCTTCCTCTCCTGGTATATGGATTTCCGGAAAAGTACTTGTCAGGTTATAAAACTTGGATAGGATCTCCCCGTACGGACGGCATGTAAGAAGATACTTAAGCTTCCCACAATGATTGCTGTGGAATTGCCTCTCCACAGAATGTATCAAGTCTGTAAGCTCGGATTCCATACATTCATCTAGGGCATCAAGAACGATAATGACAGACCCTGCCTGGGGATCTTTAGTAGCATCCCGTAAAATCTGCCAGAGCATTTTTGTAGAGTTGGTCAACCCTGTTCCGTCCTTGCGATATTCCTTCATAGCATATTTGATCAGATAAGGCTTCTGGGCGAAGAGCTGGTGGAGCAGTGCACAAATAGCTTGCCGAACGGTATTTTGATCTCGGTCTTTAAAGAAAAAGTAGCAGACGGTAGTTTCTGGTCGTTGGAGGGCCTCGTCAACCAGATACCTAGCCAACACCGACTTTCCGCAACCAGGATCTGCTGATACTAGCAACGGACCGGAGTCTTGCTTCAACCACGTTTGGAAGTGATCGTGTTGGAGGAACCACAAGCAAGTGCCTTCGATCCTTTCTTCCACTCGGTCTTTATACCACTCGTATGTGACATCTTTGTCACTCCTTGTTAGGCGGAATAGCTGGTGGCAACTTTCTTCTTCCCGACGACACCTTTTTTCTTCCTGAGTTTGAATATCCTCCATGGTGATGTCTAGGTGCTCCTTTGCAACATCACGGTGTTCTCTTGCAATATCTCGATAATCTGTCATGGAATCAGTATATGCTAATAGTACAATTTGAAGAGCCTCGGACTGACCAGATAATAGATCTCCAATCTTCTTTTCAGCCTCAACTCTATTGGGCGCGATTTGATGAAGAAGGTCCTTTGTGTACATGGCTGCCACCATTGCTGCATATCCCCGCCACTCCTCATTCTTATGCGAATCTGAATAATCGCAAATACCACGAATAACGAGACACGGAAAGTGATTCATCAACCCTGCTGCTTCCGTCTCAAAGCACTTGACATCATTTTCTGTAGCGAGCTTGTCCCGAAGCACGGCGTCTTTCATGAGCTGGTTTGCTGAAGCAATCAAGCCATAATGGATCATTGGGTCATCCTCATACTCACCCCTTTCAGGTCGAGAGATGATGGAAGATGGAGTATTTCCACATGTTGCAACACAACTCCGTTCGTTCATAGGGTGGCAGATATGACTTTCATATAATATATCGTGACTTGAATCAGGTTGTTGGTATTTCTTTCGTAGCCTTGGATTCTTATCGAGAATGGCACCAATGTTTGCCTTAATTCGATGCCCTTCCTCCTCATATCTTGCCTTGACGCCTGTAACTGCCGCTCGTAAAAGAAACGGAGGTTGATTTAGGAATCCAGTTGTTTGGAAGTTCTGTCCCTGAATAGTTTTTCCAAAGTCATACTGGAATACACCACTGTGGCTAAAGCCGTTACTGCTTCCTGGAGAGCTCACCACCACGTCCCCCAAACGAATGTCGTGCTTTCGAGATGGCGCGCCTCCGCCAATGCCAACTAGCAGACCGAATCGAACATGAGGGAAACTGTGTGACAGATCTGCTGCCACACGTGCTGCGGAAGATGTGCCATACTCTCCATCGGGCAAAACGGCGATAACGATGTTATGCTTCCCAATTCGACCTAATGTGTAATTATTACTGTCGTTGGTGGAAACCATCTCTGGTCCTTCGTGTATTTCATCAAGCATAGCTCGGGCAGCAACATATTCGGTCGTGATGGCGGAGATCCAGCCGACTGTGTAATCGTTCGGATTCGACATCTCTCTTGATGATCTAACAAAGGTAGGAAAATGCGTACATTCCTCTCAAATTCTGGAGAAAGCTTCTGCTGGCTTCAGTCACCAAACTGTGGATGGTCGACATGAAGGATGCAGCATCTCGTGTCTTCAAAGGCGGGGGAATATCAGGCTGCGATTGAGCCGCATTCTCTCATTGGATACCTACGCGCGCCACGGGGGTTTCTGGTCATTACTTGGCACTTGTAACATGGATTTTTTTCGTTTTACAAGGCGCTATCAATTATTTTTGGCCTCTATGATCGTGATAGAGCAAGCAAAAGGCTCGTGAGGCCCATGACGAGAAAAACCGACAATGACCAGAAACCCCTCTGGCGCGCGATGGTAATCAGGCATGGACACCAGTGCCATTTGACATTCGGCTGAAATACAGGTACTGACCTACCTGGAAACGAATCATTATCAGTGGCATGAAAACGTCCATGACGTTTACACGCCCGGACAGCTCAATACAGGGGCAGCGCGATATGGTTATAAGTATGCCCGTACTTTGTATCTCCTGGCCTGGTGTCAGCGATAAAGCTCCCGTCCATATTCCCAAGAGCGTCCTTGCGACAACTTATATGTAGCATCTCCAAATTATGCAATAAAAAGGTGCGTATTAAAAGAATATTTGCAGGTGTGTACATAGACACACATGACTAAATTACTGCTATATCTGCATCCAAATCATGTCACTCAACATGATTCGTAGTACCGATGGGTATATAGAACTTCCCACCTGTTTTTTTCATCGCTTAATTGCTACCCTCTCCCAACCTTTGCACCAATCACTGCGTCTTCTTGGATTTATCCTTCTTCTTCTCCTCCATGAACCAGCCCACACCCCGGTCAATGCCCTCCTGCAGCGTCCACAGGGGCTCGTACCGCAGCACCTGCTTGGCTTTGTTGATGTTGTAGTAGCGCGTCATAGTCGACACCATAGCCCTGAGTCTGGTAAAGGTAGGCGGCTTGCCAATGATCCCAAAGAAGATTTCGCTGGCAGAGCCGAGGAGGATGCTCATGCCCCTGGAGATCTCCCAGACGCCCTCGGTGCCCTTGTCGTTGCCGGCGGCCTTCCAGACGGCGCGCGCAAAGTCCCAGAAGTAGATGGGTGAGTCGTTTGTGACGAGGAAGATTTCGCCGTCGACGCGCTCGTGGCTCAGGGGAATGGTACGCGAGGCGGCGGTGGCGAGCAGCAGGCGGGCGGCAAGAAGGTGGGCGTGGGCGACGTTGCCAACGTAGGTAAAGTCGAAGATGTTGGTGTTGTCACCGAGCTGGATGTGTGATTTCTTGTTGTCGTAGGCGCGGATGAAGCCGGCGAGGGTCTGGACGTCGCCCTCGCCGAAGATGCCAGCGGGACGGATGGACGTGGTGAGGAGTCTAGAGGGCTCTTGGCGGTTGGCCTTGATGACCAGTTCTTCGGCAGCGGCCTGGAGAGGTGGGTTCAATTGTCAGTCTTGCGAATTCCAGTTTTCAAGTATAGCAAGCCACCATGATGTAGTACCTTTGTCTCGGAGTAGTACTCCTTCTGTTGGGCACCTCGAATAACGGGGTAACCCTCGTCTGCATTGAACAGATCGTTCTCGTTGTCGCTGATGACACTGGCCGAGCTGGTATACACGAGGGCCTTGACGCCGGTGTTCTGGCAAGCCTCAATGACGGCCTTGGTGCCGCCAACGTTGACCTTGCGGAAGAGATCGTGGGCCGTCTTGTTGTCGCCGCTGGTCACGGGAGAGGCCGTGTGGATGACGACGTCAGGCTTGACCTGGTTCAGGATCTCGGTCAGCTTGGCGGCGTCGGTGATGTCGCACTCGTGGTACGAGGCCTTGTCGTTGATGTTGCGGGTGCATCGCAAGTCGATCGAGGCCACGGATTTGCAGTTCCATGAATCCAGCGCCTGGTTGACGATGTGGTGGCCCAGGAAGCCGTTGCCTCCAATGACGAGGACGCTGCCGAGGTCGCCTCTCTTTTCACCAGCCATTGCTGCGAGTGACGGTGTGGTGAGGAGGTTTTGGGTATGGATGGATGGATGATGGAGGTTGATGTCGAGATGCGATATGATGGAGTCGTGGCACCGAAAGCAGACCACTGCTGAACGTACCTGAGCTAGACCCGAATTCTAGTGGCTCTTAGTGGAGAAGCGCCTGAAGAAATGGGGGATTTGGGGAAAAGACGTGGCTTCAGCTTAGTGGGGGGTTCTAGTATAATTGAGCCCAACATCAATTCTCAACCCGTGTTAAGCTAGATCCTCTTCACGACGACACTTCCACCGACTTGGAGGAACAACTTGCCATCATCACCAAAGACCCCGGTAATTTGTACGACCAAAGACGGCGGCCTGCAGCTTATTTTCGAACCCTTGTAAGCGCCCAGCATTGCCTGACAAGCGCATGCTCTTGCAGGTCGCTGCATACTGCAACATGTATAAATGAGCCACCATCGTTCCTCGTCTATTCTCTGACGTGCCGTCTGCCATACGCCTTCCAGCTGATGAATACGAGTGCCATGTTTCTGTATCCTTGGAAACGGTCTGCTCTTTAGCTCGGCAACGGATAGACGACATCAAATGGCAGAGAGTCGGGCGAATCAGGACCCGGACGTCGAGATCCTAGTTCACGTCACGGCACCAAGCAGGACGGCAGACGACGTTGCATATCGGCAGCTCGCGCAATCCTATCTTTCCTTTCAGTCCCAGCGCCGGGTTACCTTTACAACTGATCCCATTCAGGAGGATTACTATGAAAATGGACAGCATACTGGCGAGGTGGGGAATTCTCCAACGCAAGAGACGGTCTCTTCATTCAACAAGGACTTCTCGGCGGTGACTTCAGGACAGCCGTGGGTTCCAGAGACCCAGGATCTAAGCTTTCGAAGTGTGTACGATAATCGCTTTTCACCGCCATTGCAAGAGAGACGTGACTCGGCAGACAAGTCTTTCCCAACCGAGGATGCGGAATCTCTCTCGACTCAAGTCTTGTCCCCATGGCGTGCACCTCCAAGCCAAGTCAACGATTCATACCCCTTACCGGATGCTGAGATTCGCCTCGCTTCGCCAACGAGGGTTCTGGAGCACTATTTGAAGAACCTGAATTCATCGGCGCCTCCTAGGTCCTCGCCACCTGGACCAGCTCCCAATGTTGGTGAATCCGCCTCGTTACCCAGCCCATATGGGGGAAATATCCCGTCATCTATCCCCATCCCTCCTGGCGTGGGCGGGGCTGCAAGCCAATCACTTGGATATGGAAGCGCTGCAGATATAATCCCGGTCACACCCGGAGTACCAGAAGTATCGACACGGAAGCGGGAGCAGTTCTCTCCAACTGTGATCAACGAAACTATATACATATCAAGCAGTGCTCTTGACACAGCGTCAGAAGCGGCTTCCTTCAGAGCTGAATCTGCACCGCCTATATCAAAACGGCAAAAGGGACTCGCTGATGAAGCCGAAGCTACCAATCTACAACGGAGCTCAAGTGACACCGGGCCCGTAAGGACCAATCAGCCAACAAGCACCTCTTTTGCTGTAGTGAAGGAATTGACCGACGCCTTGGAAATCCGACCCCCGTCGCCTCCAGCAGGAATCATGGACCTCGAGCCTGCAGACTTGGTATCAGATAAACTAGCCAAACTGGCCAAGGACCTCTCATCTCGATATCGCCCCGTGATAAAACGCGAAACAGAACCCCTTGAACGAGGATACTGGCTCATCGACTGCACCGACTGGTCCCCAGAAACTCACCACGAAGCCTGGGTCTTCTTGGCCAACTACCTCCGCAGTGGGCTCGCCGGTTGGGGCGTGTGGTGTCGTCGCGATGAATCGCACACCTGGATCCGCTTCTACTGCTGGGCTCATGTTGCCAAGCATACATATCTGCTGCTGTACCTTGCCAGCGGTAGACATCTGAAAACTACCGGCGCGCAATGGATTGGTGCCGATGGAGAAGTTGTCCTGGAAGTGCTTCCCGTGGAGAAGAAGTAAGGTAATTGTAATTATATCGGTCGAACTTGACCAAAGTCGGATATAAGCAACGTCAGTTTGGGCATCGGAGTTATTGTCTCATGGTTACTACTAATTTATATCTATTCAAAGGGGAGCACATATTTTATGGCGACGGCGCCGAGGAACTATGTTATACTACTTGGGAGTCAAATTCAAACATGGAAATCCAATTAAGGGGCGTGGTTTTCAATAGCATTCAATAAATGGCATTCATACGCACGTTACTGTTATACAATTCATGAAAATCATGAAATACCCGTCAAAACTCAAGCACGGTAACAAGAAACCATTTTCTTCACTCTCTCCCACCATCTCACCCTTTTTCCCTACAACCAGCCCAAGACCCAGAGAGAAATGTACCATAATAAACACAGTAACGTGGCAGAAAGAGAGAAAAAAGACATGTCTACTCGCTTACAACATACACACACACAAGAACACCATCCTTAGACATGTGACCTAAATCTAAGCTGCAGGCGAGGCAAGCTTCTCCTTCCAGTACTTGTTGCCCTTCTCTCTCAAGGCCTTGGCTTGGCCTTCTGATGCTTTGTTGAGCTCGTTGGCCCTATCGATGTAGGGAGCCTTGTCGCTGGGGCTCAGCGACTTCCATTGCCCGCCGATGGTGCGCATAGCATCAGTAGCCTTTTCGGCGCCAATTTGGCTATACTGCTCCTTCAAGTACAGAGTGAAGGCGTTTCCAGAACGGTGAGGAAGTCGGTCGTCGTGAATCAAATAGAGCTTGGTCTTGTCAGTCTTGCGAGCCAGGCGACGGCGAGCCAGGTTAGCCGTGTAAATCGCCTCGGGAGGGAACGACTGGACCCAGGTCTTCTTGGTCTCTTGGTTGGCAATCTTGTTGGAGTTGCCGACTGAGGCCAAGCGCTACGAAAAGTGAAACACCCGAGTTAGTAAATCTGGTCTCGTGGGGAGGGTCAAGGGAGAGAAGGGTCTACCTCTTTCTCGGTCTCGGTCAAGTTCTTGAAGCTGGTGGAAAGGACCTTGGCTCTTTCTATGGCAGAACCGCTGCTGCCGCGAATATTATCGACCAAGTATACATTCCAAGCTGTCTCCGGGAGCAAGGTCGGTCCTTTCAGCAGCGACATCTCTTTCAACTTCTTAATCTCAGCCCTTTCCTTTTGCTCTGGCGTCAACGTCTTCTTGACTTTCTTGACCGTCTTCTTCTTCGGCTTCTTGGCGACGACCTTCTTCTTCACGGCCTTCTTGACAGGCTTCTTGACAGGCTTCTTGGCCTTGGGCTTTGCGGTCTTCTTCTTAGTCGTCGGTTTCTTGGCCGACGTCTTTGACTTTGACGTGGTCGACTTGGCCGTCGGCGAGCGCATAGATGCCGAGATACTAATCGTGCGCACCGAGGGCGTGGCAAGGCGCAACACCAATGCGCGGGCTGCTAGACCCGTGGATTGGCGCCATGGAGCTGCCGCGCCGGAGCTGATGAGCACGCGACGAAGGGCCGCGAGACGTGCGGATGACAGCATTTTGACGACTCGACTTTCGAACGGTTCGGCGCAAAAGCAAGGGGTGTTGGGCGTGCAAGAGATGCAATTGCAATGCGAATTGTGCAGGCCGCTGTCGAGGGAAAAGGCGAAGAAACTCGAGTCTTGTTTTTTCCTCGTGCAGTTGCTGGAATGGTGTTGCGATGTGACGAGGGTTGGGAGGGGGAGGAACTGCCGTTGCTATCGATTGCCGCAACCAGCCCTGTAAGCTCTGCTGCCGCTGCCGATTTTAGAGCTCGCTTGGAAGCTGCTGCAGCTGCTGTGCTTCCCTGACTTCCCTGACGTCTTCTATCGAACAGGGCGAGGTATCGAAAACTTCGTCCGTCGCCGCAAGCCCCGCCACAAGGGACGTATGATGTACCTGATGCCCACCTGGTCCAAGCTTTCGCTCCCTGCAGCCAATCATGGCCGGTGATGTCAGATTATGTAACCACTGCTTGTAACTTCCATTGTAGGCTACCGCTGGGACGCGCGACCACGGCATCACCAGCTCTCCCACGACAGCGAAGCCTCTCTCACTGTTCGCTTTCTCGCTGCCTCTCTCAATTCATCCGAGCCGCATATCTGGTGCCTTTGAGCAGCCTCAGCAACAGCCGAATCAACACTCCGTTTCCTCTTTCGAAGAGCTGCCGCCGTTTCGAGCAGCTGCTCAGCTTCAGCTTCCGTCCTTACCCCACGTCGCCGCCTCTTCTTCACAAGCTCTATAAGCCAAAATGGATCACCGTCCGCAAGCATGGGGTCGAGTACGAAGCCCTCGAGAATGAATTGCTTAAAATTACCCATTGCCACTCGCTAACGCTTCTGCCATAGCCGAGAGACGACGTTTACGGCGCCTACGACCACTCCTACATGCAGGACAATGGGCCCAAGCAGAACACTCAGCAGCCCATCGTCACTGGTACTTCAGTAATAGGCATCAAGTTCAAGGATGGCGTCGTCATGGCGGCTGATAACCTGGGTTCGTCTCCTTTCCCTACATCTTCTTATATTCTCGTCTCGAATCATCCTTACGTCTCTTTGTCGACCTCCTCCCCCTCCACCCCCGAATATCCAACGAGACCACTATTTGTTCACCCCAATGACCCTCCCTCAACTAACAACCACTACAGCGTCCTACGGCTCTCTCGCCCGCTTCACCGACGTCAAGCGTCTCCGTACCTTTGCCGACTCTTCCATCGTCGGCTTCAGCGGCGACATCTCCGACATGCAGTACCTCGACCGCCACCTCATCGACCTCTCCCTCTCCGAGGCCTACGAGTCCCCCGACAAGCCTCGCCTCAACGCCGCCAACCTCCACCGATACCTCTCCAAGCTCCTCTACAACCGCCGCTCCAAGTTCGACCCGCTCTGGAACCACCTCCTCATCGGCGGCCTCGACGACAACGGTGAGCCCTTCCTCGCCGCCGCCGACCTCCTCGGCAGCACCTACTCTGCCCCCTCCCTGGCCACGGGTTTCGGCGCCATGCTGGCCCAGCCAATCATGAGACGCTACGTCCCCGACGAAGAGTCGGCCAAGAAACTCTCTCGCGAGGAGGCCATCGACATTGTCAAGGAGGCTATGAAAGTGCTCTTCTACCGTGACGCTCGAAGTCTGGACTCTTACTCATTAGCTGTTGTGACCAAGGACGGTGTCGAGCTCAAGCAGGACGAGAAGCTAGAGGATCAAAGCTGGGCGTTTGCGGATAGAATCAAGGGCTATGGCACTCAGACGGTCTAGAGCAAGGGGGAGTTAGTTACCGAGACATAATTGCGGCCTATTCTGTTTTTATAGTGCAAAGAAATGAAAAAAAAAAAAAAAAAAAAAGACCTTGGCTCTTAGAAGAGTAATCAATCTCAAAGAAACTGTGCCTTCAGAAACCAGAAATTCTCTATTGATGCCCAATTCACTACATTCTGTCATCGTCGTACCATATTAAAATAAACTAATCTCTTTTACGGTTTTATCGATTCTTCTCTAGATATCCAAGTAGACGCTGGAGCAAAGTCTACAAACAGACGCTCAGGACACATGTTTTTCAGTCAACGAAAACGCACTATGCCAAGACGCTCCGGCAGACGCATGTCCTACGTAAATAACAACAGCTCGCCTTGCGTTCGCCTAGAAAGCTCGGCCACACTGACAGCGGAACCCATCTTGGGTCCTGATTACATACAAAAATATAAAGCGCATCCTCCTAATACAAAAAAGTCATTGCTGAGCCGTTAAATGTTCCCTGACAGCCAACTCCTCATTATCTTTTAATTCGTGGCAGCAAAAAAAAAATGCCACTGCCACGTCAACATCCATCCAGTGAGTAGAGCCGACCGGCGTCTCTTTACTCGACAGTGACGGACTTGGCCAAGTTTCGAGGGAAGTCAACGTTGAGACCCTCAAGAACGGCCAGCCAGTAGGCAATCAGCTGCAGGGGAATAACGTTCAAGATACCCTGCAGGCAGTCGACGGTCTTGGGGATCTCAATCTTGAGAGCCTCCGAGGAATTGAACTCCTCGTCAGCAGGGTTGCAGATGACGATGGGCTTGCCACCACGAGCAATGACTATAGCGAGCGTTAGCGTTGTGAGAAAAACAAGAAAGAGGTCTTGATTAGAATTAACTTACCCTGCTGGTAGGCGTTGAGGGACTTGGTGAAGATCTCGTCACGAGTGAGGATCATGATGATGGGGAGGTTCTCGTCGACCAGGGCCAAAACACCGTGCTTCAGCTCGCCAGACATGACAGCCTCGCAGTGGAGGTATGAGATTTCCTTGATCTTCAAGGCACCCTCAAGAGCGGTGGAGAACTGGCTACCACGGCCAAGCAGCAACAGGGACTTCTGGTCCTTGAAGACCCTCTGGCACAGGTCCTTGATGGGCTGGTCCAGGTCGAGAATCTGCTTGATCTGGGCGGAGACGTTGGAGAGACCCTCCATGATTTCCTCTCGGCGAGCCTTCTTGGAGGCACGGTCCTCGCTAAGGGAGAGAGCGAACATGACCATGGCAATGAACTGGGAGGTGTAGGCCTTGGTGGAGGCAACTCCGATTTCGGGGCCAGCGTTGACGTGGACACCACAGTGGGTGAGGAGAGAGATGGAGGAACCGACAACGTTGACGATACCAACAGTGAGGGCACCACGCTCCAAGCAGTATCGGAGGGCCATCAGAGAGTCGGCGGTCTCACCAGACTGGGAAACGAAAACGCAGGTGTCGTCTCGGAAGACGGGAGCCTCACGATCGAGGAAATCGGAGGCCAGCTCAACGGAGATGGGGATCTCAGCCAGCTCCTCAAAGATACCACGGACAGCCATGCAAGAGTGGTAACTGGTACCGCAGGCAATGAAGATGATTCTACGGCATCGTCGGATGGTAGAGATGTATGAGCGCAGACCACCAAGGGTGACGGTCTTGTTGGCAATGTCAAGGCGACCACGCATGGTGTTGACAACAGACTCGGGCTGCTCGAAAATCTCCTTCTGCATGAAGTGGTCAAACTTGCCCTTCATGATCTCCTGGAGCTCCAGCTCAAGAGTGTGGATGGCTCGGACGTTGGAGCTGCCATCGGCCTTCTTCAGGCGGTGGATGTTGAGGGAGCCCTCGTGAATGTGAGCAATGTCGTCATCCTCGAGATACAGGACCTTCTTGGTGTGCTCAACAATGGCTGAGGGGTCGGAAGAGAGGAAGAACTCGGTGGGCATGGGCATGCCATCATCAGTCATGAAAGCACGCGACTGGGAGCGGTGCAGGAGAGACTTGTCAGGGGCACCCAGGGCGCTGGAGGGGGCCAGGAGGTCGCCAGCGGCAGCCTTCTTCAAGGCAACGGTCTGGGATGCAGCCTCGGCGGAGAGGGCAGCGTTGTCCTCGCCATACTCGACGTCGACGAAGTCGACCTTCATGCGGCGCTGAGTCTTGACACCAATGACAAGAGGGGAGCCCTTTCGGGCAGCAATGACCTCATGGGGGTAGTGAACAGACTTGATCAGCAGACCATAAGCACCCTCAAGCTCCTGGATGACGGCCTTGATGAGGTCTGTGAAGCCAATCTGGGGGTGTTGGTCGTAGATGTACTTGGCGAGCTTGGCAATGCACTCGGTGTCGGTCTCGGTCTCAAACTTGAAGCCCTTGCTGGTCAGGAGGGTCTTGAGCTCCTTGTAGTTTGTGATGATGCCGTTGTGGACAACGGTGAACTGCGAGGTGGGGTCGGATCTGTACGTGGCGGCGGGCGTCGTGTCAGCTTGCTGGATCAAGAATTGCACACAAGGGTATAGGGGGGGACAAACCGGTGAGGGTGGCAGTTGAGAGTGGAGGGGGGGCCGTGAGTAGCCCATCGGGTGTGGGCAATACCGGCATGTGAGTCGAAAACCTTGGTCAAGTCCAACTCGGACTCGTCAATGAGCTTCCTCAGCTTGACCACCTTGCCAACCTCCTTGAAGGCCAGAACCTCATTCTTCTTGTCGCCGTCGATGGCCAGACCGGCGGAGTCGTATCCTCTGTACTCGAGACGGGACAGGCCTGGAAAAGGACCGAGGCGTTAGCTGCCAAATTGCTCTCCATGTTCAAGCCCGGCAAAGTACCCCTCTATTGAGGCGCGAGGGGGAAAACGGGAGCTACTTACCGTTGAGCAGTGTATCAAGAATGAACTTGCGGTCCTTCTCCACCAGGTAGTTGACGTATCCGAAAATGCCACTGCAGACAAGCGTCAGTAGCAGGTCAATTGACAATAGGGTTCGGCTCCCCGTCTTTCTTTGGGGCCATGACGAGCACCATGGCAAGAAGACAGACGCAGAGAGCGGGGCGGTGAAATGGTGGCATGGAAAGCTTACCACATGGTTGATGGTGATGTCTATGCTATGGACAGAACAGAAGCAAGAAAATGCAGGATCTCGCAGGGGAAACGAGAGCTGGGCGAGACGAGACGGGAGAGACGAGGGAATCAACAAGAAAAGAAGAGCGCGTCAATATAAGCCCAAGACAAGGTGGTAAGACGGTGGAATTGGCCGGGACCAAGGGGCGAAGGTTTTAGGGTTTTTGGTATAAAAGGAGGGGAGGCGCGGACAGATGAGTTTAGGTTTGGGCGGCACGCGAAGGTGGGAAGTATTATTCTATATGTACTCGAGCTGTCTTGCAGTGTCCGGCCTTCTGACTGGGCAGTGACTGGAGTGCTGCTAAGGCCTTACCTAGTAGCACCTAGTAGCAACTCAAGGCAAACGTGCTCGTACCTGTTACTGTTACTCCCTTGGCACAAGGAAAAGGAGCACTGGCCAGAAGTAGCGGAGCGAGGCTTTGGGGCTCAGCTTAATGTGGAGAGGGGGGAGGGGAGAGGAGAGAGGGTCCGAGGTGGGCAGCGAGCTTAGCATTGCAGGTACCTGGTGGGCAGGGAGCATGCGGTACCGTGGAGGGACCGGCCGATGGGGGCTCCGAGCAGCTGGATGCCAGGTACAGCGCGGGTACAGGCCGGGTACTGGCTACCAGCTTGGGATGACGGAGATGGTCTTTTGGCTGCTTGTTGTTGTGTTGCTGTGCCCCTCCTAGACCTGGCCTGCTGTGCTCGTACATACGCCTCCCTCCCTGTCTGTTGAGTTGACCATTTTCGTCTGCTCCCTGCTCGATTTGCTACCTTATCTTATGCCGACCGACTTGAGTCTGTGGTACCTCGTACCTGCGTCGCAGACCGTGGTCGACTTTACGAGCTCCCAGCGGCATTGATGTTACACTATTGGATTGCCGCTCAGTTCATTCATTCACTCTGCCTTGTTTTGTCCGATCTGGGGAGCGACTAGCCTCTTGGCCTCAACGTCACCGCTACCTACTGATACTTGTTTGTGTCCAAGACAAATGTTCAATGCCAATGGAGCATCCAGACGAGATACAAACGCCATTCACGCCGCTGTCATATGCCACTTTATCCCACCAGCTTGTATTGTAAGCTTGATTACCAAAAGCGGCCCAAGGGACTCAAAGTCACCCATGTCTCCAGTTAATTGATGCCCAGGGGGTATGTCGAGTGTGATTCGGAGCTGCGTGAGATAGACAGATGCGGACGATTCCGCCGCTTGACAAGACAAGCCCGTCCAGTTCGGTCCACGGCAGGTCATGCCTCAAGATGCTCGTACTTGTTACAGCAACCGATTTGCACTTGTACGACGAGCACGCATCTCGGACACCGCGTGCTGGCAGCTACCGGCCGCATTGGCTGGTGGCGGGGTCGAGGCTTTACAGCTTGTGCTCGTCCGGCACGGCCTTATTACAACCTCCAAAAAAGTATGTATAAGCGGCAGCCAGAAGCAGAAGCAGAAGCAGAAGCGGCAGCAGAAGCAACAGCAAAATCAAAAAGAACGGGCTCCCAATGACAACCTCGCTCTTGATATCGGGCACCCATGCCTCTCTCTTCCTTGTTTCCCCGGCGCCAGACTGCCATGGCATTGCATTGATGCAGTATCGTAAACACATCTGGCGCGGTGACTGGACAACGCCCTGTGTCGTTCCCGCACTAAGGCGCCCCTCAATTCTCTACATGTCGTTGGTGGGGCTCCGTCGTCAGCGTCGTACATACAGCAAAAGGGTATCAAATCCAATCCCACATTCCATCATCCAGACTACTCTAACAGTACGGACAAGTACTCCATCCCCTTGTCTCTTGTCATCATCGTGTCCGACACAGACAGACTGTTGCAAAACCCGCCCGTCACACCAAACCCTCGGCCCAAAGCTGCCCCCCAGCAGCGGTTCGCAAGTTCCAAAGGCTAGGAAGGCCCTTCGCCGCTAAAACTGACCCAGCCTGACTGACGCTAGCATTTCTCGCCCATCCATGTCCCTTTTTTTCCCTCTGAATGCGTTAGATCAAGGGGAAAAGGAGCCTCGTGTGGCGTCCACCAGCGACTCACCACCATGCCACCGCCCGACCCTGATTCCGGCCAATCCCCTCGCCCCAGCCGTGCTAAAAGCGTCTTACATACACAGACAGGATCCGTACTATGCTCCGTCCAAAGCCCGTCCGACCTGACGGTTCGCCAGCTATTACTCCGTAGCCCTCCCGTTATTTTTCTTGTGGGCAAAAAGTAAGCTGGGCTGGCTGCTCCAAGCACAGACGGGACCCGGACCCATCAAAAAAAGTCAAGCACGAGTTTCACGATTTTGATTTAGAAAAAAAAAGAATGTCGAATCAGGTAGAATCCCAGGAAAATCGCCTCTGGCGCGCCGCACGAGCAAATCCTTCCCGTGGCACCTCCTGGAGGACGTCATAGAGTTCGTATTCCGGCCAGGTACACACACCAGCGTCCGTCTCTATTGTTTTCTTCCCCTTGCCCCCCTCTCCGATAAACACCATTGACCCCCCCTGTCCGTTTCTGCCGGCACTGTACTAGAGGGACGTCCGGCAATACGGAGTTCTCCTGCTGAAAATAGCCCACCCGGCCCGTCGTTGAAATTGCAGCCTCGTATGCCCCGTGATAACGCTATCGCTCCGACTCGCTACCAGCGAGAGAAAAAGAAGGAATTCGCTAATGCATAGCCCGCGCGCCCTCTGATCGTCTCCAGGGCCAAGCAAAGATGGGAAGAGGAAGCCATCAATCTAAAAACCCTTGCTTGCTTGGCGCCGCCGTCCCCGAACAATCCAGATCGCGCTTGGGCTGAGAAAGGTTCCTTTTTCACAGCCTCATTGATTTGCCCCTAGCACTCCTTAGTAACGGTTCGTTAGCTCAGCTCTTGTATTTTTATTTCCAAGAATAGCATCACTCTATTTTGCGCTGCTGAGATATGGAGTTTACCACAATTTCGACAGCCGCTTTGCAAGTTTTCTTCTTCATCTGTCAACTGTCGACTGTTTTCTTTGTCTGGAATCTTATTATTGGTAAACGTCTAGTAATGTAATCTCCGCAAAGCCACCATGGATCTGTCTCCTCCGGTCAGACTATCTACATAGCTGAACCCATCCTTCTGGTCACGCAAACCGCGGCCCCAATAAAAAAAACAACACACACACACACACACAAAAGAAGAAAAAAGGGCAAAGGAGACGAGAGAGCAAACGAGAGCGACAAGTAAGGAAAACATGCTCTGTGGCTTGCCTCCCATTGGAAGTCCGGTCTCTACTAAAATCAGCCGCCTTACTGCTCCTAGTTATATCTCCCTCTGACTCTGACATCAGCAATGATAATCGCCATTCTGCCTTGCTCCTTTCGCCAACCAAGTTCAGCCGCCCTTCTTAGTGGTTCATGCTAGCAATTTCCATCAATGCTATAAGCTGTGATCGCCTGACTTGATGCGGCAATTTGCAGGGCTGACATGTGCTCAGCGAAACATCCATAGTAAGGAAGCCATGGCACAACACCTTTTGACTGCTTTATTAGAAACGTCAAGGAAACAATGCCAAGCCTTTGTAATCTTGTAGCACTCCTATTCCGCAAATATCTACAAGCACGTCAGCCTTACCCATCAACACCATGTCCCCCAATACCATGGCCCATCGCCAATATCAACAAATAGGTCCCTTGGGAGGCGGAGTCGGATAATGCCAGGTAGTTGCTCATGCATGTCATTCCTATGCCAAGAGCTCACTCAGCATTCGCTGCATCATTGAATTATTATACAGTCCTAAAAATTACCCATGTCGGTATTCTTTTGTTCACTGGCGCTAGAAACCCCTTCTCAATGACTCTCTCTTGGAACGCTCTTACAGCTTCTGATACTCGAGCTTGCCCTCCAGCTTCTTTGCCTCCATCACCTTACGCACCGCCCTGTTGAAGTCATCCTGGTTAACCGACTCTCGGTAATCTTTAATGGCAAACAGACCACTGTGTTGTTCTTTGTTAGCAAGGACCTGTTCGTAGATTTCCCAATTTGGATGAACCACTCACGCTTCAGTGACCACGTTTCGCAAGTCAGCTCCATTCAGTCCATCGCTCATCTTGACCACACTTTCATAGTCAATATCACCATCGATGACAACAGAAGAGGCATGGATCTTGAGAATCTCCAGCCGTCCAACCTCATTCGGCAGCGGGATCTCAATCTTTCGGTCCAGACGACCAGCACGCAGCAGCGCGGGGTCCAGCGTATCCGGTCTGTTCGTAGCCATGATGATCTTTGTCTTGCCCAAGTAGTCGAATCCGTCCAGCTGGTTGAGGAGCTCCATCAAGGTTCTCTGGATTTCACGATCGGCACTTGTACCCTCGGAAAATCGTCGTCCTCCGATGGCATCGATTTCGTCCATGAAGATGATGCACGGCTCGTGTTCTTTGGCGTAACCAAACATTTCTCGGATCAACCTCGCCGACTCACCGATATACTTGTCGACAATGGCCGACGAAACAACTAGGGACTGTTAGCCCGCATCTCCCATGCAGCCTTTCCTCCCATCTGCCAAACACCACTCACCTTTCAGGAAATTTGTCTCCAGACTGCTTGCAACAGCTCTGGCTAGAAGGGTTTTCCCTGTTCCGGGAGGACCGTAGAGCAAGACACCCTTGGGCGGCTTGATGCCTACTCTGAGGAAGAGCTCTGGATTCTTCAAGGGAAGCTCGATGACTTCTCGGAGCTCTCGAATTTGGTCATTAAGTCCACCGATTCCTCCAAAGCTGACCTGGCCGGGGTCTTCCAGTGACATGTTGTAGACCAGTGGATCGACCTCCCGCGGGAGCATACGCATGATCGTGAGCGTCGTCATATCGAGCGCGACACGTGTGCCTTGCTTCATCTTCGTCTTGTCAACCTTGGATCTGCAGCCGACGACATACCGAGGACCCGATGACGCCTTAACGATGACTGGAAAGCACTCAAGGTTAGCATCACCCTCGGAAACAGCTTCCCCATCGCAAGACCCTTGGCAAGTGCCCTTACATCTCTCATCATCCAGCTGCTTTAGGACTTCACCAATAATCTGTCCTACACTCTGCAGTGCCTTGATGTTCTCCTCTGTCCGGTCGTACTCCTTCTGGAGGTCTTTGATCTCTAGTCGTAGGTTCTTCAGCTTTGCCTCCCATTCGCGGGATTCGATGAGCTTCGCCCGGTAGGCGTTGAGGGCCGTCTGGCGCTCTTCTTCCGCAGACATGATTTGGAGAGCCGCAACGATGCTACCGTAGTGCTATATTCCGTAAAAAGTGTCTTCAATTCCGTAGGTTTTCTCGCTGGTTCGGTGGGAGCTTGCCAGAGTTGATTGTGCCAGATCGGATCTTGGTGGCTGCTGCTCTTTGAAGTCGTGGAGGCTTACCTCACTCATTGGAGCCTTGAGCTAATCCCTGCCACCACTGCTCGGCAGAAGATCGGCACTACCCATTGCAGCTCCAGCCCCTCTACAAAGCACTAACCGCGTATTACCACCATTTGCTGTGTTACGTCTCTCTTCACCGGGAGATGCCTTGATGGATTTTAAATCTCAAATGAATGGCTTCATGTATCTTCTAAGCTTCTCAGTTCATTGAAATTCTCATACAGCACCACTACGTTTTCTCGCTACAGTTTAAGAGCTTACGATCAGAAGAGTCGTCACATGTTTCCTCTGCAAGTCTGAGCCGCCCACGGAGTGCATCCACCACAATGAGCTAAAGAGCATTTTGATGTCAAACATGTGTCTGCCTCAAGCAATTGGGCATATGGCAGTGTAGAACTTGTGCATTGTTGGTGCGTAGATTTTCTTATGTACATGCTACATATACCAATGCCTTCTTTGCCCCATGCTCCCGGGATCGATGTACAGGGATCTTTCAATGCCCCGCTACTCCAAGTCTCGAAGCTATAGAAGTCCTCCAGACCCCTCGTTATGCCGGCATTCTCAATGATGTGTCTTCAACCTGCGCGCGGGACTCTGAGTTGGTGAAAGCGGCATGACTCCTCTTATTGTAGCTGCAAATGCTTCCTCCCTGTGATAGGCATGGCATAACATGGTACGGTCGACTGCATTCAACGTATCGTATGGCTGGGAGGGGACGGCGGGGTCCCTTGTTTGGGTTGCCTTGTGAAGGTGTGCTCTTCATTTCTTGTTCTCGCCGCCCTCAGTTGCATCGTCTTTCGTCTCTGTCTTGGGCTCGCCGTCTGCGTCGAAGCCAAGGGCATCCAATTCGCGAATGAGCTCGTTGATCTTGATGACCTTGGCGATCTGCTCAGGCAACAGACCTTCGCCTCCATCCTTCTTCATCTTGAGCTCCTTGGCTTGCTTCAGTTTCTTCTTAAGACTTCGAGCCTTTTTCTCGCGCTCAACTTCAGGATCAGCCTCTTCTGCATTGGGCTGGCCATCTTTTGTAGTTGCCGTTGCATCGGGCTTGTCCTCGCCTTCGCCTTCACCGTCGCCAGCCGCCTTGGCCTTTTTCCGGGCTTCTCGGCGTTTCGCGTTCTTATTGCTGGCGGCGGAACCTTGGTCCGGCTTCTCCTCTTGTGCGGCGGCGCCAGGAATGCCTATTCGCTTTCCTCGCTCCCGAAATGCTTCCGCCGGTCGATTCTTGTAGACCTGGACATCTTCGGGTGGCTGGTAGCCGGGTCGGATCTTGATAGCCTTTCGTTTGCTCCCGTCGGCTCGAGTAGACTCGGGGATGTGACGCTCTCCGCTGGCCTCGTCTGTTGTAATACCAGAATTCGTAGTAGCGGGTGCCATTGTCGGGATTGCAGACACGATGGTCTGAGAAGGCTCGCCGTCAAGCAGGGAGGTTGATTGATTCACAGTGACTCAGCGGTGCCCAATCACAGCCCGTCGAATTGATGGCTCGGATGCACAGGCTTCCCAATGACCTAAAAATTGACCTCTCAGGCACAGCTGCGGATTGGCCAGGCGATGTTCGATGCGGCAGCACTCAGGCAACACAGTGCCTACAGCTTGCGAGACAACTTGAAGCTCGGATGAGACCCGAGGCGTGACCAGGCAATGGACAGAAAAAGGTGGCCCAACTTGCCAACGCACCCCCACTATTCTGCGTTATACTCCGAGTGGCTGCGCTTATTTCGAGATTTGGCTTCCTTGTCACAACCACATGTTAACCATGTTCTTTAACGCTTATGTATTGGGGCAATGCTACCTTGATTAATTGGTACCTGTATCCAAGTACATAATCCAGCACCTTAGGTACCTATGTCCATAAGCACGGGTAAAGAGGAATTGAGTAAAGCTTTCTAAGCTTCCTCATCTCAACCTCCAGCATGGTTACGACCTAGCTTACAAAGGTGCTCGCTGGGACTATCGAAGTAAAGAAACCCATTGGCAAAGTCGTAGCCCTTTGATGCAAGAATCGTAGTTCACAGTTAGGACATCCTATTGTCCATGTGAATATCCCCCAGGGCCAAGAGAGCAGCCAGCACTCTGTGCAGATGAACATATGCTATCAACAACTAATGAGCCCACGTTGATATAGGAGCCTCACCTCCACAAGTATCACAGGGCAATGATATGAAAAATGCAATTTTTGTCGGCCATATATTCATATTTACCGAGATATTGCTGGCTGTGTACACGAAGCAGAAAGACTCAGAACGTTGAAGTTTAAGAAGCATCCCCCATAGTAGTAGGCCTAACAGTACTATAGGTACTAGGTAGGGAAAATACAAAGAGAGAGACGGCTACTACGGAGTTTTAGGATGAGTTCATTCATCAATCCACAGGTCAACGATGGAAAAGTACTCAATCAAGAAGACTAGTATTAGATCGAATAAATTCCACCTCTCAGATTAAAGCTGATGAATGGAATAGAACGAGAAATATCATTCGGCAATTCTTGGTAAATGAGTGCAAGAAATGACTGAGGCTGTAGGCGGGAGGCGCCGGGTTGAAATTGTGGAGCGGAATCCCAGGTTGCGGCTGGCCAATCAGCGTTGCTTACTTTCTGCTTGCGCTCGCGGATTTCCCTAGCAGAACTTCTTCTGAGGCCATTCCTAACCTCTTCCAAAAACCCGCCAACAACAGCACCTCGGTCTCTACGCAATCGCGACTGCATCAGAAGCATTCAATTGCTCGCCAAAGTCAACATGGTAAGCATCGAAAGGACGCAATCCGTTCCGTCGCCGCATCACAAGCTAATCGCGCACATGCGCAGTCTCTCGCACAGTCCATCTACAGGCAAGTCGCAACGACAGTGAATCAACAAACGTAACTCGGGCGTCCTAACATACAACTATGCAGCACCGTGTTCCGCAAGAACTTCACCATGCTTGCGGCCGTTTTCGGTGCCGGTTTCGCTTGGGAGATGTATGAGGAACCCGCCACATTCGATCGAGCGTCAGGGCAGTAAAAGACTAATTAAGGGTGCAACAGCGGTTTCAACGCCACCATGAACAACATCTGGGACAGCAACAACCGAGGCGTAAGTGTTGAGTCGAAACGAAGCCATAACTGGCGGGAAGCTAACCAGGAGATCAGCGCCAATGGAAGGACATCCGACACAAGTACATTGAGGGCGGCGAGGACGAGGAGTAAGAACAGCATGCAAATTCCGGTTACTATGGCTAGAATGGGTGTGGCATGGGACTGCCTAGGTAAAATGTACAAAATCAACGAGAAATAGAACGATTCACCACCTTTTTTTGCCTCTTTGCCCTGTATCACGGCTATATCATTCTCCGGGCTCGGCCAGCACTACCAACTTATCCGCGGTCATACGATGCCTCATAGTAACCTCTGTACCTGTGCACACGCACTTGGGAAGCCCTTATGACCCATAATATCGTCAAGAAATGACTCTCCAGTATTTCTCCGTAATCACTGCGCTGTACAAGAAAGGAGTACATATGATTAATCCCATCCACTTCTTTGGCGGGACTTGAACACTGTTCCCGCGCCAACTGACGTATTGACCTGGTACTTTGTCACAGAGGGGCAAAGGTTAGAAGCTGGAACTCCCTGATAATTGGTGGCGGCCGCCTAGACAGCTTTAGGTGCTGTCAGACCTTCTAGCACCGCCTGACATGTAGCTACAGCACGTTAGCAGGTACATATAGGCAGCAAATAATATTCGCCGCCTCGAAACAAATCTCCAGCTACATTTCCAATCAGAGCGAATCAACACATCATACCAGCATACTGTAGTCGCACACCCACCGCCTCGACACTACAACATCTACGCTCTCCCTGTTGACAGGTATTCTCTCTACTGCACCAACCCCAGCTCCGGCTACGGGCCATCTCGTCATTCTATCGAGCATTTCCTCTGCTAGAGCTGACACCACCAACAGAACCCCCACCTCCCGCATTGCGCACACGCCTTCGGTCAGTTGCAGAGCGACGCTGCATCATGAGCCCATGAGAATGGAGAACCCTTTATCTACTCAAGAGCAGCAGCTCTGCCAGCTACTGGCAGATCTGCCCGCGCGATTCGACTACCGCTATACAGAGGAGGCTTCCCGAGAGCTCCTAACCAGCCTTTTCTGGACGTTGGCTGGCGGCAACCATGAATATATGCGACTTCTGTTCCCCGAGGGCAGGCCGTCCGACAGCCTGAAGCTTGGTGATGCTCAGGGCGCTGTGGAAGGTGCGGAATACACAGAGGCGGCTCGAGGGAAGCGATGTGGTCACATCTTCAAGCCTGGTGAGGCATCCTACATGTGCAGGACATGCGGCACGGACGAGACCTGCTGCCTGTGTAGCCGATGCTTTGATGCAACAGATCATACGGGGCACATGGTGAGAATCCAGATTTCGGTGGGAAACAGTGGCTGCTGCGATTGCGGAGATGATGAAGCTTGGAAAACGCCGCTATTTTGCACCATCCACTCTGATGTGGCCGCTGGTTCTCACATGGACAGTGCCGGAAAACCTGCCTCGCTTCCAGAAGATCTCGTCAACGGTGTACAGATGACAATCGGAAGAGCATTCGACTATATCTGCGATGTTATATCTTGCTCGCCCGAGCAGCTACGCCAGACGAAAACCAAGGATTCAATTTTGAAGGACGAAGAAGCATCTCGTTTGAAATCAACATATTATGGCTCCGATACCCAGGCTTGCACGGATTTTGCACTAGTGCTATGGAATGATGAGAAGCACACTGTTGATGAAGTCAGAGACCAGGTAGCTAGAGCCTGTAGGAAAACCCGGAAACAGGCCAATAACGACGCATGGGAAACAGACGCAGTTGGACGAAGCCTTTTGGTGTTTTCAGACAATGTCGAACGGTTGCTACAAATGTCCAAGACATTGGAGTCTATCAGAGTCACAGTCACCATTCGCTCAGCGAGAGACACATTTCGGGAACAGATGTGTGGTACCTTGATTGAGTGGTTAAGCGACATATCCGGTTGCTCAGTTGGCCATGATAATCATATCCTCCGACGAACCATATGCGAGGAGCTGATGAAGCCATGGAGGAAAGGAAGCGCCGCAATCCATACTCTGGGTCTTATCGACGATGAGGAAGCAGATGACCAACGGCTTGAAACAAGAGCTAGGATGCACAATGTTAACGCCCGGTTTATTCTTGCTCTACAAGCTGCAGCCGGTGCTCAAGGCCTGACATTGGATCCCGATGACGGAGATGATGATGATGACGACGACGATGACGACGACGACGACGATGCCGATATGGATGATGATGAGGATGATGAGGATGACGAGAATCGTTCCGTCTCGGATGACGACGTTATGATGGTAGACGCACAGGGAGATGTCCCTGAGCCAGACATGACAATAAGGCCCAACGAGGCTTTGGAAGAGGACGAGGCCACTCTAGCTGGATATCCTCCTCCGCCTCCCCCTCCGCCTGTTCCTGCGCCTGAACAGGCACAGGAGCAGACGACTCAGACGACTCAGCAACGCGAGACTACGCCGTCCGATTCCGACATGCAAGAGCCTCTCATTTCTCAAAGTATATACTCAAAAGCGAATGTAAAAATTCCTAAAACACCTGGCAAGATGGAAAAGTTACTGCCAAACCCTGGACTCTACTGGCTCGAAACTCCGGCGGCCTATACACAATCGGGCAACGTGCCGCCGGCAGAGGATGTTTTCCAACGTGTTCGCTTGGACTGGCTGCTCCTGTTCGACTTGCGAATGTGGAAAAGGGCCAGGAATGACCTCCGCGCCCTCTACATTTCCACGGTAGTCCAGATTCCAGAATTCAAGCGAGTCGTGGCCCTTCGATTTGCTAGCCTCTACACCATCCTAGCCCAGCTGTATCTCGTTGGAGATCGGGAGCCAGACCATTCCATTATCAATCTCTCTCTCCAGATGCTGACGACGGCATCCATCACTGCAGAGGTAGTGGAGAGAGGCAACTTTTTGACCAGCTTGTTGGCAATTCTGTTTACATTCTTGACGACCAGACAAGTTGGTCACCCTTGGGATCTCTCCCCTGTTGCGGTTCTTGCATTCGATAGCGGATCTGTCACTAATAGGCGCATGTATCACTTCTATCAAGATCTGAAATATCTTTTCAGCTCCCAACATGTTCAAGAGCGGCTCAGAAGTGAACCAAGGTATCTGATGCAATTCCTAGATTTGGTGAAGCTTCACCAAGGCATTGGACCCAATGTCCGCGCTGTCGTCGAGCACGTTGAATATGAAGCCGATTCCTGGATTACGGCCTCTCTGGTTACCAGGCAGATCAACTTGCAAGCTAGGAACTTGGCCGATGCGTTTCGTCAGTGCCCGCCCAACGAGATACGCAATCTCAT